CTAAACCCCTAAACCCCTTAACCCGTAAACCCCTAAACCCCTAACGCCCTAACCCCCTAACCCCCTAACCCCCTAACCCCCTAACCCCCTAAACCCCCAAACCCTAAACCGATGATCTCAAAAATGCTCCAAGGCGAAACCTTAAAGGATCCCCTAAAGGAGCCCTTAGTAAAGGAATCCATGGAAGGAGCCCTTAACGGAGCCCTTAAAGGAACCCCTAAGAACCCTAAAGCCGAAAAGTATGCCGTCAGGCACTAAACCCTAAACCCTAAACCCTAAACCCCTAGACCCCGAAACTCTAAACCCTAAACCCTGAAACCCTAAACCCTTATTAAACCCCCAAGGCGAACCTTAAAGCCGAAAAATATGTCGTTCAGGCCACGACCCCGGTGGATCCTCGGGTGCTGGATGCCATGCCCCCCGGCGCTTTGGGGGTCTAGGGCTTTGGGGGTTTAGGGGTTTAGGGGCTTAGGGGTGTAGGGTTTAGGGTTTAGGTTTTAGGGGTTGAGGGTTTAGGGGTTTAGGGTTTAGGGTTTAGGGGTTTATGGTTTAGGGGTTTAAGGTTTGAGGGTGTAGGGGTTTTCAAGGCTTCTTTGAAGGGTGTTAACTGGGCTCGGGAGTACTCTACCTTATTTTTGTTGGACCTGTTCCTTAAAAGAAAACCCTAAACCCTAAACCTTAATCCGATTCTGAAATAGCAGCTTTTATCTTGATTCTACCTAGGCACTTCGAGGCCCAGCTAATAATGTTCCCTTTGCGGGATTCCGTGACGGGCTCCTTTGGGTTTAGGGTTTAGGGTTTAGGGTTTAGGGTTTAGGGTTTGGGGTTTCCTTCGGGGTTCCTTTGAGTAGAGCTTTTTTAGGCAGCGCCATGCCCTTTTGAGTTGAGTTGAACCATGGGACTCACTTAGCAGACGTAGCAATTAAAAGTTTCATGTGGGTGTTTTAAGGGTTTAGGGTTTAGGGTTTCGAGCCACAGGGGTCTTTAGGGTCAAGAGGGTGTTCGCAAGGTACAACAGGGTCAAGAGTTTTCATAAAGGTTCTGTAGGGCGCTGTCGGTTCTGTTAAATGTTCCCCAGGGGTGCATCTCGATCTCTGAACCCTAAGAGCTCACCCCCAAAGCTCTAAACCCCCCAAACCTTATACACCCGCTCAACATCCCTTGAACGCGGGGGTCGTTTAGTAAATGGCAGTCTAGACGTCTCCAACCCGTCCTCCCAGAAAAGGCGGACGTACTCCGTGGAGCCGCGAAAAACATATGGTCAGTTCTCTAAGTTAGGGTCCCCTTTTTAGCTCCCCAATATAGTACGGCACCCCTATAAAGAGGACCCAAAAAGGGACCCTGATTTAGAGAACTACCCATGTTGTTTCAGCAAGGGGTGGGGTAAGCGGACGCCGTGAGGGTGAGGTGGCAGATGTAATCTTAGAAGGGGGCAGAGCGTGCGGGAAGGGCCTCCCCCAGGGGTTCACGGATTAGCAAGGCCATTCCTGACTTAGGGTTCTTTATAAGAGCTGCACTATATCAAAGGGTTATTGGCCTAAACCCTTTAATATAGTACAGCTCTTATAAAGAGCCCTCATTAAGGAATGGTTTTGCTCATCAGTTTAGGGTTCAGGGTATATCCTGACCCAGAACCATACTCTAACTCTAGTAAACCGTAAACCCTAAACCCTAAACCCTAAACCCGAAACCCTAAACCCTAAGCCCTAAACCCTAAACCCTAAACCCTAAACCTTCCATGTCGGGGCTGCTGGAGACACCCAGCTCGAAGCTTCAAGCCCCCCAAAAGACCGAGACCCCCTCCCTCCCCTAAGCCCTAAACCCTACACCCTAAAGCCCAAACTGCCTTAAACCCTAAACCCCAAATCCTGATAAAAAAAAACCCTAAAAGAGCTCTAGAAGAACCCGATATTTCGAAGTTGTTTCCCACCCCAGAGGAATCCGATATCCTACTGTAGCCCCCAAACCTCAAAATCCTGCATCCTCTCGATTTCTCTCCCACGCAATCCCGAACCCTATCCGAACCCGAAACCCTAAGGTGGAACCCAGAAACCTTAAGATAAAATATAAGGGATCCAGCGTTTAGGGTTTACCTTAAGAACCCAAAACCTACTTTTTTGTAGGGTTCCTATAAATCCCATATTAAGGTTTATAATAAGAACCTACAAAAAAGTGGGTTTTGGGTTCTTAAGGTAGGGTTTAGGGCTAGTCATCTTAAACCCATGTTGCAGCGTTCTGGGGTTCGCTGTATAGCACCGTTTAAGGACCTTGTAAGAGTTTAGGGTTTAGGGTTTAGGGTTTAGGGCCCAGGAGCCCTAAACCCTAAACCTTTAAACCCTAAAGGCAAAAGCCTTGGTTTTCTCGGGTTTTTGGTTGGTGAACCAATCAATACCTATAAACCCCAAACCCTAAACCCCAAACCCTAAACCCTAGACCCTAAACCCCAATACCTATAAACCCTAAACCCTAAACCCTAAACCCTAAACACCTTGCAAGAACACCCTACATCCCCGGAGCCTTGAAGCTGACCACCTGAAATCTCAGACCCCAAACCCCACCGAAGGGGAACCCCGAAACCTCGTAACACCTAGGGTCTAGGGTTTAAGATTTTAGGGTTTAGGGCTTAAGGGTTTCAGGGTTTAGGGTTTTTTCACCCCCAAACCTAAAACGTAAATCCTCAACCTCATGCCCCTCATGGCCCTAATACTTAAACTCCAAGCCCTAAACCTTAAGTAAGTGGACCGGAATGCCTACCCAATTACGGGTTGGAGATGCCAGTCGCTGGCAGTCACCAAATGGCCTTTAAAAAACAAGCCCTAAACTAAACCTTAAACCCTAAACCAGAAAAGTTCACTTTAATTCGCCCCCTGATCCCCTGTAACCTTTTTTTCTGAACATTTTTCCAGGCCCCCATCTTTCATAGAACTCTTACAGTAGCAGCCCCAAAGTTGGAAACCCAATAGCCTCAATCCTTAAGAGTAATGTCTAGGGAATCCTAAGGGTCCAAGTACCCAAATAGTAGGGTTTCAAGGTCCAAAAACCCATTCAGAGTATGGATTTTGGGACGTAAAACCTTACGATTTGGGTACTCGGACCCTAAACCCTAAACCCTAAACCCTAAACCCTAAACTGGGGAATCCTTGATCCGGTTTCCAACTCTTTGGGGTGTACTACATAGTAGCCCTTCTAGGAACCCTTCCTTGCGGCCCCTTCAATCAAAAACCCTAAACCCTGAATCCTAAACCCTAATCCCTAAACACTAAACCCCAAAACCCCTAAACACTAAACCCTCAAACTCTAAACCCTAAACCCCCGAACCCCTGAACCCTAAACCCTCAAACCCTAAACCCTCAACCCCTGAACCCTAAACCCTAAACCCTAAACCCTAAACCCCTAAACCCTAACCCTCAGGCTGCCTTACTACCACGGCCGCTTCGGGAACCCGCACAGCCGCAGCCACTCCTATGGCTCGGGTCCCTGGTGGTTTAGGGCTTTTCAGGGCTTTTTAGTGCGTTTTTTTTGGGTTTTTCAGGGCTTTTGATGGCTTTTTGAGGATTTCCAGTGCTTTTCAGGGCTTTTAAAGCTTTTGGGTGCTTTTTAGGGGTTTTAGGGTTTAGGGCTTTTTAGGGTCTAAGGCTTCTTAGGGTTTGAAGGTTTTGGGGTTTGGGGTTTTGGTGGTGTTCCTATTGTCTGGCAGCAGTTAACAGTCAAATAACTTGCTTTAGGCGTTGAATGTTGTTGGTACTCGAAAGAATTTGGTGGTTTCTTTGCGTTTGTTTACATGCTCTGGTTGTTTTGAGTTCATGTGACAAATGTTTTTATAGCTGTGTTGTCGATGTTTCGGATTCCAAA